AGGCGTGCTAACAATCTTAGCATTCTCCATGTTAAACCTCTGAAGTACCTTCTCGACATATTCAGCTTGACTCAACTTCAACATCCTTTCAGTTTCATCTCTACTGATTCACATCCCAAGAATTTGTTTCACTACAGCCAGATCCTTCATAGAAAACTCCTTCGCCAATTACTTCTTCAAATTGTTTATCTCCTCTAAACATAGTTCTGCAACTAACATGTTATCAACATACAATAATAACATGATATAGCTAGACTCGAACCTCTTGAAGTAGCAACAATGATCTGAATTGCATCTTTCATAGCCATTATTCTGCATAAAGTTGTCGAACTTCTTGTACCACTATCTCAGAGCCTGTTTCAATCCGTACAAGCTCTTCTTGAGCTTACACACCATCACTTCTTTTCCTTCTTCTATAAAGCCAACATGTTGGTTCATGTAGATTTTTTCATCCAAGTCGTTATGAAGAAAGGCAATCTTTACATCTAACTGCTCAAGGTAGAGATCTTCCACAGTTACTAAGCTCAACACCACTCTAATTATTGTAAGCTTCACAATGGGAGAAAATATCTTCGTATAATCCATTCATTCCCGCTGTTGGAATCCCTTCACGACTAATCTGGCCTTGTACCTCTTGCTTCCATCACTCTCCTGCTTGACTCGGTAGACCCATTTGTTATGTAGGGCTTTCTTCTGTGCAGGTAGCTGAGCAAACTCCCATGTCTCATTAGTATGTAGAGAATCCATCTCTTCTTACATCGCATGCTCCCGCTGAGATTCACTCACTTGCATAGCCTCCTCATAGCACTATGGTTCACCGCTATCTATTAAAAATAAATAATCAAGTGATGAGAGATATTTGGGATTCGGTTTGGGTACGCTGGATGACCTCCTAAGCTGCATGTCCTGGGTAGTCATCTCTGCACCTGGAGTCTCCTCTGTTCTTCGATCAGAACTAATGTTGTCGCCCTTATCTGGAAGTTTCTCTAAATCCATGTACTTGGATCCACTTATATCTGTAGTGCTGCTCCTACTAATTTGGTTATCCTTGGCATTGTCCATGTCCTTGTATATCACCTCCTCATTGAATATGACGTCTCTACTCCTGATAATCTTTCTATTCTTATTATCTCACAGATGATACCCAAACTCATCAATGTCGTATCTAATGAATGTACACTTCTGTGACTTAGCTTCTAGCTTGTCCTTGACATGGTCACTGATATGAACATATGCCACACAGCCAAATACTCGCAAGTGTAAGAGATTAACCTTCTTGCCACTCCAAACCTCTTCTAAAATTCTAAAATCCAATAGAACTGATGGCCCATGATTAATCAGATAAGCTGTCGTATGCACCGCATCCTTCCAAAACGTCTTGGGTAGACCTGCATGTAGACGCATGCTCCTCGTACGCTCCGTCAATGTCCTATTCATTCTCTCTGCAACGCCGTTCTTTTGTGACGTCCCTGGAGTAGTCCTCTCCAAACGAATCGCATTTAGAGCATAAAACGTCTTGAATTCCTCCAGCTCATATTCTCCATCGTTGTCTGATCTCAGACACTTCACCTTCAGATCTGTCTCATTCTCCACCATAGCTTTCCACTTCTTGAAGATCTCGAACACCTCTGACTTGTGCTTCATGAAGTATACCCACACCTTCCTCGAGTGATCATCGACAAAGGTGACATAGTACGTCGAACCACCAAGAGAAGATACGCTAGCTAGGCCCCATACATCTGTATGAACAAGCTCTAGCTTTTGAGCTTTAGGTGGTCTTCCACCCTTCTGAAAGCTAGCCCTCTTTTGCTTCCCGTAGATATAGTCTTCACAAACACCAACTTCAACAGAATCGATGCTGGTTAGCTTTTCCTGTGAGTGTAGAGTCTTCATACCCTTCTCACTCATGTGTCCCAGCCTATTGCACCACAGATCTGTACTCTTCTTACCAGCTACAATTGCGAGGGTGTCACTCGCATGTGAAGTAAGGTAGAGAGTCCCTGTTTTGTTGTCACGAGCAACCACCATATATAGTATTGTTGGAGATTTTCTATAAATCCCCGGTGAATATTGAAACATAGCCTTCTGCTTTAAGCTAACTAACCGAAACAAGAATCCTCTTCAGCTTCGGTACGTGTGTGACGTTCTTTAGATTCCATTTAGGGCCCTTCATCTGAATCTGCACGCCACCTCTTCCAACAATATTGTAAGTCTCGTTGTCCTCCAAGTATACTTTCCCAAAATTCCCTGCTACTTAGTTTTGAAGAAGCTTCCTATTAGCAGTGGCGTGGAATGAGGCTCCTGAGTTAATAACCTAAGAATCAGCTGTCCATAGCAAGGATCAAGTTATCTTGCATGATATGAGCCTCTTGCTCATTCGTATCCTTCTTTTGTACTTTATAGACTGAAGACATATGACCCTCCTGACCGCAATTCCAACACTTTCCTTTGATAGGCCTAACCTTCGAGTTCAACCTTTTCTTCTTCAGCTTCGACCGATTCATGTTCTGGTTACCCATCTTTCGGCTTCGACCTCTCTGCTCGAGATTTAGAGTTGAACCTGAATCTTCTGATTCAGACGATTTCCTTCTAACATCCTCGGATAGAATCATGCTAACAACCTCGCTCAGCTTTAACTTCTCCTTCCCCGCCGAGTTGCTAATTACGATCACGCAAGCAACCTAACTATCCTCTAACTGCGATAGAATCAATAGGGCCTAACTTCGTCATCAAATGTGATGTCCATGGAGATAAGTTGATCAGCAATCGTGTTGAACTCACTGAGGTACATCGTGAAGGAGCATTCTTCTGCCATCTTAAGGTTGAAGAGCGTTTTGACGAGATGCACCTTGTTTGCGGCTGACGGTTACTCATACATTTTCGCGAGCGCTTCCACAAGCCCCACCATTGTCTTCTCCTTCAATATATTATGGGTAATCGATTTGGCGAGCGACAATCGAATTTGCCCTAAAGCCTTGCTATCCAGTATTTCTCACTCCTCATCTGATTCCTCCTTCTTCTTTCCCTTAGTCTTGTCTATCAACAGACGGTAAAGATCCTTTTGGTACAGATAGTCCTTCATCTGTGACTTTTCAGTAAGCGAAGTCTGACCCGTAAAACTTCTTAATCTTTGGTTTGCTTTCCTCTGCCATGGTTCTCGCACAAATCTTCCGAACGAAGCTCTGATACCAGTTGTTAGGGATTCAAAATAATTAATCAATCAAACCCGTGCCCTTCCGGATCTTGTGCTAAGAGTTTAGCAAGTAGGAAAATCACTGCAAATAAAAGAAAAATTGCAGGAAAGATAAACAAGAAAGAACAACCAGATTTAACGAGGTTCGACAATATGCCTACGTCCTCGGGAGCGACACCACACAATTCTTTGATTAATTGAAGAAGATTACAATGCCCATAAATAGGATTTTATCTATCTGAGATCTCTCTGAAAGAATCCTCTCAAAAACCTCTTTTTCACATGTTCTGCAAACCCTAAAAACGTTTAGGTATATATAGGATCCCGGCCCAAAACAGTTTCCAAAACGAATTAGGAAACTAGAAAAACCATCATCGGTCGACCAGACCACGCATGTGGTCGACCGGCCAGAACACTATCCTGTAATCAGCTTCTCATGCACGTTTTCAGTCAACCGGAGTCCTCGTGTCGGTCGACCGGCCAGAGCTAGATTCTATGCTTGGATTTCTATAGTGTTTTCGGTCGACCAGATCATCCCTGTCTGTCGATGGGCTAGAGCGAGCTTCTCACGCTCGTTTCTTGCAGGCGTCGCGGTGACCAAACCAGGCTCGTCGGTCGACCGACCCACGTATTTCCTGTTTTCTTCGTTTGTTTGATTTCAGGTTCAGGTCTCCACACCCGAGACCAACACATGAGTACTAAAAAAACGGAGTCCAACAAGTTTTGCATCCTAATTGTCAATTAGAATTTTGATGGTTATGGTTGTCAGAGTATAAAAAGACAAACGTCATTACAACTTAAAGTTTTGGCGTAGTGGGAGGGCTTTGACATGATACTAGAGCAATCTAGGTTGAATTCTTACCAATACAAATTTAAAGCAGACTTTAAAAGAATATTGCTGTCACTGTGTTAATCCTGGTTTGGGCTCATAAAAAGTCCACTGAAACTACGGGGGGATGTTAAAATACAAAATTACAACCCTTAACCTCCTTCACAATTTGAAAGGTTTGGTGTAATATAAGGGTCCTCTGGCAATGATTTATTCTTAATATAACTATCATTTTTGGTCTTGTGAATTATATTAATCGTTTATTTTCTTTAAAGATAAATAATAGTCATACAACACATCCAAAAGTTATTTTCTCATTGTCTTATGAAAAGAAATTGAACCCATTTTCATTCCCCCATATAGAAGCTCTTTCCATTGGTTTCAAAATTTTGACGAGGATTGATGATTATAGTAGCTTTTTTCTCTCACTTTGATTGTATCGAATAGTTTTGTAGTATTTAAGTTTCCAAATGCTATATATCATAGGAAAAATTCCTTGGGGACCCCAAATCATGAGACCCAAGAGTGGACAGGTGAGGTGTCAACCCCTGGGTGCATGATCTACTATTCATAAACAGTAGATCATGCACCCAGGGGTTGACACCTCACCTGTCCCCTCTTGGGTCCCATGATTTGGGGTCTCCGTTGAACAATTTCATATCATAAACGGAACTTTATCCAATCAGAGTGATGAATGTAGAAAATAATTCAATTTCAAATTGAAAATGTTCGAGCTAGCAGAGATTAAAACTTTGTATCCAATTGTGAGATTAAAAGGTTAAGATGGGCTAAGCTCCTGAGTGCTTGGTAAGAGACTCATGAGTTGAAGCTTTGAGTCGTTTGAGTTTAATATCCTTCTTTATGTTGAGATTACTTTCAACATTAAATAAATATGTTCACGCCGCAAAACACGTGGATTATACTATACTAATAGAAAGTAATGATTGTCTAGGCTAGGAATTAAAAGTAAGGCCCATCTTTATTTTATTTGATATCGTGATTACAAACCGTGACAAGTACATCACTAAGATCATAACATCACCAACTTTATTTGTTTGTTACTAGTAAGGCTCATCTTCATTTCTCTGCTCCAATTCATCACTACACCCTGCTGCCTGCACACCAAAAACGCTGTTAGAATATACGTAAAAAATATTATAATTCTCAAATTTTAATGCAACTCCGAAGCTTTGTCCATTTTTCCACTCCTAAAAGTATTTTTAATCTCTATGGGTATCTCAAAATTTCAATCTCATTTCACTCAGTTTTCTGTTAAATTTAATTGCCTCCTCCATTTCACATTTTGTTGTTTCGATTCCATTTCTAGTAACCGGTCAAAATGGACCTAAATGTGATACAAATTTAATAGAAAATCTAATGAAATCTGGACAGCCATATCAATAAAACTAACACAAGAGACACAAACACATACTTGTCACAATCAGTTTTGGGGCTAGTCTCAAACGGCGCCACAGCCACTCCACGTTTAGCCGGAAGGCCGCCAACAAGCTCGACGGTCGCCCCGGATACCCGGCTGGCCATGGACTTCAGGCAGGTGCAGATGAGGCGTCGATTGACGCCGGTCTCAGCCATGGCCACCACCGTCCGCATTCCGTTTAGCATGCGGCCGATGGCGCGGTCCCCCGCCGCCTTTGAAGTATTTGAGGCACGGGGACAGATCTTCGTCGTGCGAGAAGCACAAAGCGCTCGCTTGGAGAGGTGGTGGTGCTAGCAGCATCGCAGCGAAGATGATGGCTAGGATTGCAGATGGCCGATTCATGGTCGTGTGTCCGGAGGTAGAGGATGAGTTGGTTTGTGAGGGGGAGTTGAGCGAGGATCGTGGGTATTTATAGGAGGAGGCAGGGGATAAGGTTGAGGGAATGTTGGGTGAGATCGTAACCCTCAGATTATCATTGCAATTTCGAAGTTTTGGTGGTCTTCATAGGTTATGAAGCGAACACAGGAAAAATGGGCAGAAAACAGTTTGGATTTCCAGCGGTCGACCGCGAGTGGCGCGGCGGTCGACCGCAAACGTGCACGCGACTGAGAAAAGTCTATGGACTTTTCGCGGTCGATCGCGAGTGGTGCGGCGGTCGATCGCGGACCCTATAGTGGATTTTCGTGGGTTTCTGTCTTCTGTCCGGTCAACCGCACGTGGTGCGGCGGTCGACCGTGATGTAGTTTTGGGCCTGGGCTTGGTTTTCTGTTCACATTGGGTTTGTGTTTTGATATATATTAAAACACGATTTTCTAGGGTTAGAGAGAGGAGAGTTTTAACAGAGAGTTAAGATTGTACTGAGTATTGTGAGAGGAAGATATTGTGAGCAAGGAGAGAGCTTTGGTTTAGGGTTTATTTGTGAGTTTTGTGAGTTGTAACCCTTTTGTACTCTTCTTGATTTAGTGGAATCTCCCCATCCTCTCCCCGTGGACATATGCAAATTGCCGAACCACGTATATCTCTGTGTTTGGTTTGATTTGTCGTATTTGGTTTGAATTGTGCTTGTGTGTAGTTGGTTCTCTTCTCCCGTGATCATAGATTCGTTCGGTGTGCGAGCACGCTTCCGTATAGGCACGCAACAATTGGTATCAGAGCACAACAATTGGTATCAGAGATCAGATTTTAGATCTAGGGTTTGGCATTAGGTGGAGGAAGATTCGTCATGAAAGATTGGTTCTTGGAGTTCTAGGCTTCGGTGGAGATAGTGTTTGGGGTTACCGTTAAAGATTTCACTTTCCTCGTGTGGTTAGGAGATCTATTTGGAATCCATTCTATGGTTCAGTTGGGTAACTTCTAAATTCTATCAAGTTTGAATCTTTCTTTGCAATTTGGAGTTTGTGATTATGGGTGAAGAAGTTGATAAAAGCAGCAAGATGACGGGTACAGTTCAAGTTAGTTTTCAGAACACCAAAATTAGTATGGTGAAGTATGACAGCAAGATCAATTTTGGTTTGTGGATGAGCGATGTTCAGGATGCGCTCAATGCTCAAAATTTAGTGGAGACCATCATGGTCCATAAGAGGCCACCAAAATATGAAGAAGCAATATGAGAAAAGATGAATAGGAATGCTTGTAAGGTGACCAGGTCTTGTTTAGAACAGGAGCTAAAATATGATGTGATTGGGGTGACGTCTACAATGAAGATATGGGAAATTCTCAACAATAAGTATCTTACGAAGAGTGTTGAGAATAGATTACACTTGCTACGTAGATTATTCAAATTTTAGATGTCCAGGGGCACCTTATTAGCAGTTCATGTGAGCAACTACACTAAGTTATTGTCAGACTTAGCCAATATTGATGAGAAGATATCAGATAAGTACAAGGCTATTACTCTTTTGGGCTCCTTATCGGATGAGGAGTATGATACATTTGTGCTTACTTTGTTGAACGGTAGATCTTCTATCACTTATAGTGAAGTGACTAACGCTTTGATGAATTATGATTTGAGGAGAAAGGACAATGAGACTTCCCGCGCTAGTACTTTAGGAGAGGCCTTGCCGACGAGAGTTAGAAGCCCATATCCGAGAGGTGGCAATAGAGGCAGGTCAAAGTCAAGAGGCCATCACCAGCTAAGAAAGAACCAATGTGTATTCTGTAAGGAACAGTGACATTGGAAGAGAGACTGTCCAAAGATCAAGGAGAAGGAGAATAGCAAGAAGAAGGGCCTGAAGGCCAATGAGGTGAATATTACGAAAGACGATGATTCCGATGATTTGAGCTTTTCTCTATTGATTACTCCGGAGGTGAACCACTTAGATGCATCAGATTGGATGCTTGATTCTAGCGCTACTTATCATGTGACTCCTAGGCGAGATTGGTTTTTATCTTTTGAGAGACTCGATGGGGGTGTTGTTGTCATGAGAAATGATCAATCCTGTAGTATTTATGGGATAGGTACCATGAGGATTAGGATGCACGATGGAGTAGTCCATGAATTAAAGAAGGTGAGATTTGTTCCTCAGTTGAAGAAGAATCTTATCTCAGTTGGAGCTTTGGAGGCAAAGGGATTCAGGGTGACCTTTGAGGATGCTGTAGTAAAGGTTACTACGGAATCTTTTATGGTGATGAAGGGAGTCCACAGTCAAAACTTATATTATCTGAAGGGGAGCACCGAGATTGGCCAGGTTACTTCAGCTATTTCAGAGGCGGATATTAGCAGACTTTGGCACTATAGGTTTGAGCACACAGGAGAAAAGTCACTGCAGGCTTTGTGTAAGCAGGGGCTATTGAAGGGAGCCAAGAGTGAAAAGGTTGAGTTCTGTGAGCATTGTATTCTTGGTAAGAAGATGAAGGTAAATCGTGACAGTTATTCATAGGATGAGGGGTATTCTGGATTATGTGCACACAGATGGTTGGGGTCCTACCAAGACTGCATCACTTGGTGGTCGATATTGGTTCGTCATATTCGTTGATGACTATTCTAGGCGTTATTGGGTGTACACCATGGCAAAGAAGAGTGAAGTCCTAGATATATTTGTGAAGTGGAAGAAGAGGTTGGAACTACAGACTGGGAGAAAGATCAAGACGTTATGATCCGGTGGCGAGTACACATCAGACCCCTTTCAGCAGCTATATCGAGATGATGGCATAGAGAGACACTTCACAGTTAGTCATACACCGTAGCAGAATGGGGTGGTAGAAAGGTTAAATCGGTCTTTGTTGGAGAAGATCCGATGTTTGTTGGCGCATAGTGGTTTGGAGAAGATCTTTTGGGCTGAGGTACTTTCATATACGAGCCACCTCATTAACAGACTATCTTCATCTGCGATTAAGGAGAAGACCCCTATGGAGATGTGGCCAGGAGAGCTAGCACACAAATATGACCAGCTCAAGATATTTGGGTGCCCTGCATACTATCATGTTAAGACTGATAAGTTAGAACCTCAAGCTAGAAAAGCCATATTTGTAGGATTCAAGCATGGTGTCAAGTGATACAAGCTATGAGATCTAATTGATAGGAAGATTGTACTGAGTAGAGATGTCACGTTTGATGAGGCTTCTATCTTGAAGCTTCCCAACTCTTATCAGGTGGAGAGCGACCCGACGGAGGAGATATCATAGGTGGTGGAGATCGATGCAACCCAACTCTTATCAGGTGGAGAGCAACCCGACGGAGGAGATATCATAGGTGGTGGAGATCGATGCAACTCCACAGGTACAATATCCATTAGAGTGCTAACTGAGGTGACGTCAGTCGAGCACGGTGACGACGAGGAGGATACGAGTACAGTTATGCAGGATCAGGGACAGATGGATCAGGTTCAAGATTCTATTACAGTTCGGAGATAGAGGAGAGATATACGGATGCCAGCACGGTATACCAACATAATAGTTATATATGTACTTCCAATGGAGAGTATCGATAAGTTGGTTCCTACTACATTCAGAGAGGCCGAGCAAAGTTCGGAGGCTGATTCGTGATAGGTGGCTATGCAGGAGGAGTGAAGTCTTTTCATAAGAACGATACATGGGAGTTTGTTGAGCTTCCAAAGGGGCGGAAGCCGATTGGTTGCAAGTGAGTGTACACGAAGAAGGAGGGCATTAAAGGCACTCCAGTAAGGTTCAAGGCTAGGTTGGTTGTGAAGGGCTATGCACAGGAGGAAGGTATTGATTATAATGAGGTTTTCTCTCCAGTGGTGAAGCACTCTTCGATTCAAATTTTGCTAGCTTTGGTGGCATAGTATGAATTGGAGTTAGATCAGTTGGATATGAAGATGACATTTCTTCATGATGATCTTGATGAAGAAATATATAGACTCGGCCATTGGGATTCCGAACCGCAGGAAAGGAAAAACTGGTTTGCAGGTTGAAGAAATCGCTATACGGTTTGAAGCAGTCTCCTCAACAGTGGTATAGGTGATTCGATGGTTTTATGCTTGGTCATTCGTACACTCGGAGCCAGTTTGATCCTTATGTGTATTTTTCCAAGTTGAAAGAAGGTACGTACATCTATTTGTTGCTTTATGTCGATGACATGTTGGTTGCCTCTATTTCCAGGTCTTCTATAGATGAGTTGAAGGCACAACTTTCAAAGAAGTTTGAGATGAAGGATTTAGGTGAGGCTAAGTGTATTTTAGGGATGGATATCGGTAGAGACAAAGAGAAGGGCAAAATTTGTTTGACACATGTGGCTTATTTGAAGAAGGTTCTACAGCGATTAAATATCAGCATGGATACGAAGCCAGTTAGTGTACCTTTGGGAGCTCATTTGAAGATTTCAGCCGACCTTTCACCGAAGACAGTTGAAGATCAAGATTTGATATCAAAGACTCCATATCCGAGCGTGGTTGGGAGCTTGATGTACGCGATGGTATGTATGAGGCCAGATTTGTCACAGGCGGTGAGCATAGTTTCGAGATATATGTACAATCCAGGAGTGGGTCATTGGGATGCCGTGAGATAAATTTTGGGGTACATTTGAGGTACGCTCAATGTTGGTTTGGTTTTTGAGCGGGACACTACATGTGGGCAGTTGTTCATTGGCTATGTTGATTCGAATTATATCGGGGATTTGGATAAACGCCGGTCTACTATGGGGTATGTGTTCACTTTGACCCGTGCGCCGGTGTGTTGGAGATGTACCTTACAGTCTACAGTGGCTTTGTCAACGATGGAGACAGAGTATATGGCGATTACGAAGGCTGTGAATGAGGCTATTTGGCCTCGAGGATTTTTGGAGGAACTTGGTATATCGCAACGGTCCGTCACTATTCATTATGATAGTATGAGTACAATCTATATTTGGCGAAGAATCAGGTTTTTCATGCGAAAACGAAGAACATTGACGTTCGTTATTAC